GCAGTGTCAGAGACCTATAATTTTTACCTGTAATTGTTATTATCTAGTTAGCTTTACTTTCAATATGCTGTAAATTTGTGATATTTTTGTCTGCTGTTAAAATATTTTCTTTTATTAATTTAAGATCAACATTTCAGCCGTGCTACATATGAAATTTATTTTTTATGATACGAAAACAGCTTCGAATAAATATTGATACAATGGAGATTTTTTCTTTTCTAAACAAATAAAACTTACACATAATAAAATATAATAGAATTTTAAAAAACAAGTTACTTTCTCATAGAGATTATTTTTTATTGTAAGAAAAAGTTGAACCTATTACATTTTTTAATATTTTAAAAATAACTATTACAAATTTTTTTGAAACTTTTTTTTATAACTTTAAAAAAAAACTTTTTTCAAATTCATAATTCAAACAAAAAATGTCATATGTTTATAATGTTAAAGAGAAAGATTTTTTTCTTCTAATATCCAAATATGAGTTTTCGTAATATAAGGACTAATTCGTTACCCCTCTCAACTTTCTTTTTAATTCGTACTAATGACACAAACGTGTCTATTGCAGGTCCAATTGTAAAAGTAACTTGTCCGCTTTATTATACAAGAGTACTACACTAAAACAGTTATAAATTAACGCTGTTAATGTTATATATTAACACTTTAGACATGATCTGCAATGCCAAAAAAATAATATGTAATATAACAAATAATTTTGCTAATTAAAGTTCAAATTTTTTAAATATATTAAAATTTTTATTGTGTTGAGTAATTTACGGGTATCCCAATTTACATCAGAGTGATTCAATTAATAAAAATGCAGAAGTTTGAATGGACGGAAAGAGATAAAAAATGTAATGTAACTCAATAAAATGAGTTTATTTCATTTTTATAACATCATATAAACAAAACATAGTCTTCAATGAATATACCATATACTAAACATTTTTATATCTATACGTTGGTACTTCTGATAATAATGGAAAACATGCTAAGGAAGTATAGTAGACAAATGTCTGTTTCCTAGAATATTTAACTTTATATTACATTTGACCATTCCTATAGCAATGGAGAGTAGAAAGGATGTTGCTTATACTTCTTGTAAAAGAGAGAAAGGTGTCCTCCTTTCAACGCGTGTCCCGAATCAATAATTACTCGTATTAACTTTGAATTGAGTTCGGCGATATAACTCTGAAGACTATAAAGAATCTAATGTAAAATCGTTTTTATTTTTTCGTTAGACGAATTATCAAAAAAAAAATTTTGAATAAAACATAAAAATTCTTATAACTGTTATAATTTTTGAAAGCCTTCTGTCAATATTAGTGACCGTTATTTTGAAAAATGTCTATAATGTAAACAACGAAGAATTTTTTCTGTCAATAGAAAACTAACATACAGCTATAGTCTGAAAATTCAGAACCAATAAAAAGTAAATTAAAGAAAAAATTGTTTTAGATATTAAATTCTTGAAATTTAAAAAAATAATCCCTTCTCATGAAGAAATTAATTACTTAAATAGTATAAAATCCACGTTTTACATTTTTCAGGTAGTTTACGGAAAATTTGCGCTGTAATCTAAAGTGTTATATTACATGGTAATTACATGCTATATTAGAAACGCATGAATATATAATGCCTAAAATTAATTTGTTACAATTTTTATTTGATAAAATTCATATATATTAGATAGAATTTTCTTTTAGACGAATTTATATTTGTTTGAATTATTTTTTGACAGAATTTCCATTAAATCGATTTTTTATATTACAAAATTTTTATATAATTGGACATATTATATCAAATTTTTCTTTTGAAATAATGTCTATTTTTAAAATTAATCAATTAAAAAATAACCAGAAAATTTTTATTGGTTAATTTTAAAATTCGCGCCTAAATGTTTCTGTTAAATGTTTATTCAAACAAATTAAATTCTATCTAATAAAGATTCGATCAAATAGAAATTAATGATTTTAAATGTCAAATGATTAAAGTTAAATTATTTTTCGGTTCAATAAAAATTCTGTAATATAGAAATTCGGATTAATGAAATTTCTGTCAAAAAATAATTTGAACAAATGTAATTTCAACTAAATAAAAATTCTTTTAAATAAAAATTCTAACAAATTAATTTTAAGCAATATTCATGCGTTTCCTACATTACACACTACAAACATTTGTTATAAATCTGAATCAATCAAAATTAATCCACTAATTCAAATTAGTGAAGATTTCTACTAATTTTTAGTTATTTTTACTTTACTAAAAAGAATTTAATAAAAAACAGATCTATTGAATAAAATAGTAAAATTTTACTAAAAATTAGTGAAAATTCTAACTAATTTGGATTTTAATTAACGACATTGCCGAGAGGCAATATTCTATGTGAAATTCGAAATAATATATCCCAAGCAATCTTTAAATATAATATTACTTGTCAAACAATACTGGCATAGTGCTTATTATTTTTAAACTAGAGATATTAAAGAAATATCGCAGGATGTATCATATTATTGAAATTGTTATTTTATAGAAATCACTAAAAACAATTTATAAGTAAGTAATAAATAATTATGAAATAATTAATAAGTATATTAATTAATAATTTTAGTTAGTAATATATTTTAATATCGTTTCGATTGGCTTCAACAAAATTTTTATTCTGAGGTTCACATATTATGTAGTAGATTTTACTCCTTTCCGTGTTTCGATAGGGGTTTAACAGCATTTTTGTTGCATACTGAACTAGTTAATGTAGTTTATAATATAACCTGTTTTCGCAATGGAAAATTCAACAATTTTACAAAAAATCAACAATTCCGTGCAGTTAAAATATTATATCTGTTTAAACAAGTAAAATGAAATTATTTACTAATAATATCTGTAGCAAAAAGAAAAGTTTTTAAAAAGTCTAACTTGATTGAAATACAAACAGCACACGAAATTTCCTGAACATTACCTATAAACTTGATCTGCAATCTTTGATATTTTCACCTTAGAAAAATTGCAATATTTATTCGATATTACTTCAACATTTCCGTATAATAATCCTTTTAAATATTTTTTCACAAATGAACATTACACAGAAAAAAAATTATTTGGTTGAATTAATTCAAATTATTTAAAAAATATTTACTTGGATCAAATTTTTTTTTTGCATCTATAAAATATATATTTAATTCACATAATTTTAATTATTTGAATTACACTTATTTAAAATAAATAAATTTTAAATAGATCAAGTAAATAATTAATTAGATCTAATAAATAATTTCTTTAAACAAAATAATATGATTTTTCAAATGTGTATTAAACTGATATTTACTGAGCTTCGTAGGTAAATATTTCGAATATATTAAATACCTATTGCGTGTTCTTAATTAAACAATAAATCTTAAGTTCTGTAAATTAAAAAAAAATTGTAGTATGCATTCAAACTTTTCATTTGCATATATGTTAAATTCTTCTATCATTTTTCTAAGATTCATCGATGTCGAACATCTAGAAGACAACTTTCATTTTTTAGGCATGGTCTAATAACCCATTTATTTCACATCAAAATCTATGATAAATACGCTTTAACATAAAATCAACTTCAAATATTTGAAAAGGATGCTAGTCATTGTACCCGTTATTTTATAATTCCGTGTGGAAATTTTCTCAATTTAGATAAAGTTTGACAAATAAAGAATAAAGTAATAAAATCAAAAATATTTAAAAAATTTATTATTATTATTTTTAAACCCCCGTATAAAAAGGTTTCATAACAACCCGGCTGAAAAAACTTGTACAAGAAAATGACAAGTTCTTGTACATGTTCATTAATGAACTTGTACATTTTCTTGTACATGTTCAAGTAATATTCTTGAACAAATTCAGCATCCGGAATTGAGACATGTTCTTGTACCAGAACTTGTACAAGATCCTGGACAAGAAAATATACTTGTACAAGAAAATGTACATGTTCTTGTACATATTTTTTTGTGTAGGTTTCATATAAATTTTCTTGTACCAGATGTGGAACATGTTCTTGTACATGTTCATTTATGTCTTTTAAATTAAAAATTAAAAACTTTAAAGGCTGCGCAGTAGTTTTCTTAAGCCTTTACAGCTGCGCAATAATTTTTAGCATGCATAAGTGAAGAGTCTTAATAATTATAACTTATTAAAATTTCAAATTTTTTTTCAAAAACATTTTTAAACAAATGTTCTTGTACAAGAACATAAACGTGTTCATGTAAAAGTACTTGTATATGAAACCTGCACAAAAAATATGTACAAGAACATGTACATTTTCTTGTACAAGTTCTGGTACAAGAACATGTCTCAATTCCGGATGCTGAACTTGTTCAAGAATATTACTTGAACATGTACAAGAACTTGTACATTTTCTTCTACAAGGTTTTTCAGCCGGGAATTCGATCAAACTTTGATTTTCCTTTCGCAATATTGGATCTGCCTTTTTGAATCTTTAAAATTTGATCTCAGATTCTTAATCAACGACCCCAAAAATCTCTGAGTAAACATTTTTAGTCGATTATGATGAACTTTTAAAAATTTTGATCTTGAAAAAAGTATATAATATTTTTATAACTTTCAAACGCCATCCCTTATAAGAAAGAAGTACTAAACTAAGTACTGAGTAGAAGTACTGGAAAAAGTACAAGATATGAGTAAGTATATCATCGGGTGCACAATTTATGTACTTGATAGCTATAAAAAAAAATTTTCACTCTTGAAATTCTGCAGTATAAAAAATTGAGTATATGGAAATTCTGTTAACCAATATTTCTAAGAAATGAAATTTTAGTTAAATAACAATTCAAAGTAATAAAATTCTATGTAATTCTTTGCTTTTTTAAGATCGGTCTAACTTTGTTTGTAAAAGTTGGTTCGACATTAGATGATAATGATATCTCTGTCTGTCGAGCTAAACTGGCATATAAATTGTGTTAAATATTATTTTTATTTTTTATTTATGATTTATATATTTCTAATAGGCTATGGATAAAACCATAATATTAATTTTTATTATTAAATTAATATTTTGGACACAAACTGAAGCCACTCAGAGATGGTCTCGACAGATTTCCAATAGTGATTGGGTTCCTCTAACACATCATAGACCTAGTCAAAGAAGTGATAGTCACTCACAAGAAAATGTATTCTCATCTTCTTCACAAATAAATAGAGGTTCATCTGTGTCACTTTCACCACCTCTTCAAAAACAATATCAAGATCAGTTGTTGCAACTACAAAGAACTCAAGAAAGTATTGAGAAGCTTTTAAATCTTCAAGAACAACTCAGAATTCAACAACAACTACTTCAGGTACCTAATGCAAAGCAGGATATATTTGAATATGGGTGATTCTCCAGAAATCGGTCAAACCTGTGCCCAGTGGGCACAGGAACGTCTTAAAAACGTCGAAAAGACGTTTCATCTCTTTTCGCGGACATCCGGGGACAATAATAGTAATGTCTCGGAGACGTTACAAAGACAATTAAAAGACGTCTAAAAAAACATTCGAAAGGACATCTAAAGTACGTGTTAAAGACATAAAAGGGACGTCTTAAAGACGTCTTTTGGACGTCCTTTTCACATTCCATCAAATCTTCTTCAATAGAAATTTCTTTCACAATATTTTCTAAGTTGAAATACAGTAATACTTTATTAAATTTATCCCACACAGCACCGAAAGTTTCCTAAACCTGTATTAAAGCTGTGCGTGCCAAGTTGGAAAAATTTACCGTAAAGCTTAGCACAGGTTGTGTAAATATGTAAATGTCCGCAATTGAGTAAATGTTTAGCGTAAAACTGTACTGAATCTTTAAATTACGTATTTAGTACAGGTTTAGCGTAAAACTGTACTGAATCTTTAAATTACATATTTGGTACAGGTTTAGCGTAAAAATGTACTGAATCTTTTAATTACATATTTGGTACAGGTTTAGCGTAAAACTGTATTTTTCGAAAAATAGTTTGCCAGTTTTTTTTCGAAAAGGTTAGAAATTTTTCGAAATAGTAATGTAGGAAAATTTCGAAATCTGTTTTGATTTTTTTCGAACAAAGTGTTAAGAAAAATTTCTAAACTGTGTTTGATTTTTTCAGTAACGTGTTAAGATAAATTTCGAATCTCATTTCGATTTTTTTCTAACCAGAAATTGAGAAAATTTTCTAAACAATGTTCGATTTTTTTCAAATAACCTGTTAAGAAAAATTTCGAAACTGTGTTCGATTTTTTCAGTAACATGTTAAGAAAAATTTCGAAACTCTTTTCGACTTTTTTCTAACCAAAAATTGAGAGAAAATTCTAAAAAGTATTTGGTTTTTTTCAAATAAAAAGTTAAGAAAAATGTCAAAATTTTATTTGATTTATTCTTAACTTCTTAATTTTAGGGATTGTTATTAGATATATGATAGAATTATAATGATTTACAAATAACTATAATTTTATTGAATAAATCAATCTAAAATTTTTTACAAAATACATAATAAGTATTCTATTACAATGATAACTTTAAATTATAGTTGTTCATCTTGTATAACCACATACGACACAATAACTTCCAGAAAAGTTTTTAAATACTTTTTAAACATAAAATTATATTATTCTTAATCCAAGAATTCATCAGTTCACATATCACATCACGCACTTCACATCACTTCACAATGAAATTTATTACTTACAACACTAACTTACTCGCAAATTTAATACATACCTCTTCGGCAAATGCTGAAGAGCAACTGAGGATTCAAAGTCTTTTCAAAGAAAAATTCTCAGAAAATATTTAAAATTTCGAAAAATTTTGAAAATTATCGAAACATTTTCTCTATATATTTCAAAACAAAAAAAAATTCACAAACTTTCAATCTGGAAACATCTATGAAAAAAAAACTAGTACCGAAAACGTCATAAAATAGTCCCTCTTACAATGGAAAACCCTTGTAGCTGGTCAATATGAGCCAAACCAGATGTGACAAACTATTCAAAAAGACAAAATACTTTGAACATAAGAAAAAATTTTTCAATCCTTACTTCATAGAAAAAATATTTCACGATATGTAATAATACTTTATGAAATTAAATAATTTATAATAATGTTTATTTATAATAAAATAGAAAAAATTAAATTTTAATTGCTTATTTAAAAATAGGTTTTTATAATACTTTTCAAAAATGATAACCTATTCTTAAATATAATTAACAAATTATTATATATTGTTCTTATTGTTTAATAATTATTATTTACTATTCTTATTATCCAAGCAGCACGTAATATTACCTGAATATCATGATAAAATTTGTTTAAAATATTTCAGTGATATACTAGTAATAATTCACTAATATTAAAATTCTTGTTTTTAAATAAATGTGTAAATAATAACTAAAGTCTCCGTATTCTTAGGAAAATTTTCTAGATTTTGTTAGTAAAATATCTCATTTGAGTAGAAAAATATCATTATTTTTTAGAAAATTAAATTTCGCAACAAAACTAGAAATTTTCTCAAAACGTTCTGCTATAATTCATATTTAGTTAAGAAAAAATTCGAATTCTTGTAGAAAAATTTCTTTCATTTTTCGAAAATCATTTAATCTTACTGACTTTTCGAAATTTTTCGTAACAGTTTTGAAATTATTCTACACTTTTCGAAAAATATCGAAATTTGTGTAGAAAAATCGTTTTCTTAACGTTTTTCGAACTATTTCGAACTATTTCATGAGAAAAATTTCCAAAAATTTTTACAGTGTACTGAATATTTAAATTACATATTTGGTACAGGTTTAGCGTAAAAGTTGCCTGAACATTTAAAATAAATCTTTTGTAAATTTTTATCATAAAATTTGCTTAAAAATTAAAATTAAATCTTTATTACAGTTTTAGTGTAGAAATTGTCTATAAATTTAAATTAAAGCTTTATTAAATATTTAGTGCGAAATTAAACTACAAAAGTGTTCATTACATTTTCGTTAAATTTTTGATATTGAGAAATTGTTAACTGTAAATGATGCAGACAATTGAAATAACAAAAAAATAACTAATTAGAAAACGTATAATTAAATGAAACTTCAAATATAGTGTACACAAATATATTTATTAAAATTTTGCATTTTCCAAAACAATTATACAAACAAATTTAGAATATTAAGAACGTTAAAAATTAATTTTTCGTTGTTGAGTTTAAGAAAAAAATTAATACTGAAGAGTTTTAATATGTAAAAAGTTTATGTCATTAACATAGGTTATTTATAATATTATTAAGTTGTTTTATTTAAAAAAAAAGTACCAAAACTCTTAAATCCTCTATTTATAATCAAATTGAATTGAAAACATAACGTTTTAAATTGAAAAAAACATTGTTATTTAATAAATTATTTTATTTATTTAGAAAAAGTTCCTAGAGCTTTAATTAATTAAATTTTTTCCCTTAAAGTTAACGTTGGTGCTTATGGGAAAAATAAAATCAGTTGATTCTTTCCGGCTTTTTGATCCATGAGAAATCTTCAAATTTTCCTTTTCTTGCTTCTGCAATTAGATTTTAAAAACAAAACAATTGATTAAAATTTTTTATTTTTTTGGTAAAAATCGATACATTATAAATTATTTACAGTAAGAATAATAATAATAATTATAATTTTTTATTATTAATCAGGGTTGCCACAGACCTGAAAAATTTGGGAAAGCTGGAATTATCATGGAGATTTTTTTCAGTCTTGAAAAACCTGGAAATGTCAGGGAATTTTACAAAATTTCGTTGTGATAATTATTTTTGACTTATTAATTATTTCATTTCGTGGTTTATTTCAAGAAATTAATTTACAGAATAAAAAGTTAATTATAATATTTATATATGTGACGCTCCAGGGTGAAAGGGACCTTAGCTCCAAACAAATTTTAGGTTATATTTGAGATTTTGAAAGTGAAAACACAAAACGATTATTGAGTTTTAAAACAAACCACTGATAAATAGTTTTTTATTAGATACAAAATATTCAATAAAAACTATTTTTCACTTACCATAGTAAAAAATACACGTTTTATCCAATTAAAGCTATCACATAAACATTTCCCACTATACTAGTTATTTTTTTATTTATATGAATTGATAGCATCATTTGCAGTTAATATTTTCCGCTCAGTATAATTTTTTTATTGAAAAAAACATTATTTCTACAAAAAACTTTAATGAAAATGTAATTAACACTTTTTGTAGTTTAATTTCGCACTAAATATTTAATAAAGCTTTAATTTAAATTTATAGACAATTTCTACACTAAAACTGTAATAAAGATTTAATTTTAATTTTTAAGCAAATTTTATAATAAAACTTTACAAAAGATTTATTTTAAATGCTCAGTCAACTTTTACGCTAAACCTGTACCAAATATGTAATTTAAAAATTCAGTACAGTTTTACGCTAAACCTCTACCTAATATGTAATTTAAAGATTCAGTAAAGTTTTGAGCTAAACCTGTACTAAATATGTAATTTAAAGATTCAGTACAGTTTTACGCTAAACCTGTACTAAATACTTAATTTAAAGATTCAGTACAGTTTTACGTTAAACATTTACTCAATTGCGGACATTTACATATTTACACAACCTGTGCTAAGCTTTACGGTAAATTTTTCCAACTTGGCACGCACAGCTTTAATACAGGTTTAGGAAACTTTCAGTGCTGTGTGGGATTTTAAGTTTAATTTTATAATTTTTAAAAATATACAGAATTAATAAAAAAACGTATATGAAGCTGGGATCGAACTAGAATACCTTGGGCTTGAAGCATTGCGCCTTAAGCACCTCAGCCGTTTAAGACAGATATATATCCTCAACAAAGTTTACGATCTCACTTCTCAATAAAATGAATTTTAATAAATTAGAAAAATTCAAATAACTTTTATCTTCAGCAGTTTCTACACGAAAAAAATTTTTTTGTAGCGAAAACACTGCAATTTTCAGAATAGGCAATTTTTTAAATTGCTATGTAGACTATAAGAAAATTGAGTTTCCGACAAATAAATTGGTAATAGTTTCCCAAAAGTCAGCTGTTTATGAATACTTCAACTGAGATTTTTAGATAACACGCAGAGAAGCTGTTGATAACACAGCAAATTTTTTTCCGTATAAGTCCGAGTTGAACTTAGAAAATAATAACATTATCTATTTATGAAAATTTTTCTATTTTAAAAATTTGAAACAAAAGTTGTCTTTAAGTCATCTTAAAGAAAACTAATGGCCAAATAGAACATTCTTAGAACGTCTTTAAGACGTCTCAAAGGCGTCTTTTGAACAAGTGTGCCAACTGGGTTTTGATAATGGTACTTTATTTTAAAATTAATTTTTTTTCGTACTAATCTTATTTCTTAGCATTAAAAAGAATTAATCAACAACTATTTGAGCTGAAATTTATTTTTTGCGTCCTGTATGAGGAATTATGGAATTTAGCTTTTCTGAGCGACTCATAATTTTGAATTCAAATGTTAGGATATGTAGTTTAAAATTAAATATTTGTTTTTAAATAATTAGTGAATATTTTAAACTTATAACTACAGTAATACTTTTCTTTCTCCATATCTGACAAACATAAAAAATTGTTTTAAAAATCTATTACATAAATTAACAAGACTATGATTAAAACATAACTTCTAAATTTATCCATTTAAAATACAGACCTTTGTTTTAAATAAAACTTTAGCCAATTTATCGCATTTTATCTAAAGTTTTGAAAATCCATCATTTTAAGTGGAGCTGGAGTTTACAGAGGTAACAAAAATACGCAACAAAAACATGATTATTATTATAGTTTAATTGTTGATTTTGATATTTTATTTGTAAACAAATGACTTATTCATTTTTAAAGAAATAAAAAACAAAAAAAAATGCTTCTTTTGCTTTTAGTATTGATAAATATAAGGTTGAAAAATAACCCTAAAAAGTTTCACAATTTTTTCAATTAAAATTTTAAAATTAAGTGCGGAAGTAAAAACGCCTTGTTTCTGGAGAATCACTCATATGCACATCGATTGTCTTATTTAAAAAGCCGATATCATTTAGATTTTTGTACTCGCCTATAAAATGATATTTTTTACATTTGTTAGTCGCATGCATATATTCAGGATGGCATTACCAATCGAGATCAAGATAAAGAGACATTTCATCAAAGTAGGATACAAAACGTACAAGCAATTCCTCAACTAGTTCCAGATGTTTTAATGCCTCCAAATGCGGTATATAAATCTTCATCCCCAATATTTTCTGAATCAAATCCGCAATTGAAAGACGAAAGACAAAAGTTAAGAGGCTCTGGAACATCCAAACTTCATCATAATTCTGAAAATCGATTTAAAGTTAATAGAGAACATTATTTTAAAGATTCGAAACAGGATGCATCACCAGATGAGGCATTCGAAAGTCATAAACGTTACAAAAATGATAATAAGGTTAAATTTTTACCACAGCCGTGGTCAAAACAAGATGAATCTGACGAAGAGGTATTTAAATAAAAATTTATAATATAATAAAACAACCAAGTTAAATTACAATTTTTTTGTTTGACAGTTTTCTTGTATTATATTTGCAATATAATAATTAAAAATAAAATTTTCCCTTACTAACTATAAAGTTTTTTTTTTAATAATAAGCAATGATTTCAGATTCAGTTAGTCTATGTTCCAGCCGAGACACTGCTTCAAAATAGTCAAGAAAAGAATGAGAAAGAACGGTCACGAAAAAAGCAAAATTTAAATAATTATCAAGATAGCCAGGGAGTTCAGTTGCCACCATCAATATTGAGCCAAAAAAGTTTTTCTCTTAAACATTTTGATCAGTCTCAAGATAACATAAATGAAGAGGATCAATTTTTCCAAGAAGAAGGAATAAAAGAAATTTTACCCTTACACGGCGAACAAAAAGATTTTCAGAAGAATTCACAGGTATTTTCAAACAGTATGACAAGGAATCACGAGCCAGATATAATAAAAGATGAAATTAAACAAACTGAGTTACCAAAAGTTTATGAAGGCAGAGAAAAACAGGAGCAAGAGAGGAGAAAATTAATAGGAAGTAGAACAAAAGAAGGTAGAATAAAGCAAAATCAAGATAAAGAACAATATGATAAACAAACACCTTTAGAAAGAAAAAAAGATACCGAATATCAGAGAAATATTAATTATCAAAGTGATATGGATTATTCGAGAGAAGCGCATAGATTGAAAGAAAATCGTAGAATCTTACCACGTCAAAAACAATCTTCTCAAACAGCTTTTAGGCAACTACCTTCTAGAAATGAACCCTATATGACTCAAGATTATCAATTTAATGAAGATAAAATCCCACAGTCATTAATAAATAATGAGCAGCACTATCAATATTTTACAAATGACCCCGACAATGTTACAAATAACAGGAAGAATAAATTTCAACCACAGATTGATCAACATTACTCAACTGATGATGAAGATGACGTCACTACAACTTCCGTTTCCCCTAATCAACCACCTTTATCAATTTATTTGTCAACAAAAGTAGAACCTCAGAAAGTTGATGTTAATGATTTACTTGAACTTCTACAAAATGCAAAGTCAATTGCAGTGGTGGATGTTATACATCCAAATACTCCAAAAGTATTTGTTGGACCAGCATATCTAGAGACTCCACCTGGATACGTCAAATTTGATCTACCTTATTTGTCTTCAATTGAACACTACCTTTTTGATAAAGATGTACAAAGATTTCCTTTTTTTGTGGCTCCTCTAAGTTTTGTACCTCGGCGCGGTTATTTCAAAATTCCTTTCCCAGCTCCTCATATTGGATCCATTATTGTTAGTACAATAGAAAAGACAACAGAATCAGAAGATTATAAAAATCGTCACAATTCTAGTCCCTCAACAGAATTTAATTCATATACTTTCAATTCTTATCAAACACCTAACGATAAAATTGCAACAACAACTGACTACAGTACTGGAGTTGTTGATTCCTCTTTGTATAAAGAATCGCAGTTTTATCAAGATCAAAAACCTTTATTTCCTGCTGTGGATACAGAAAAAGAACAATTAAAAAATATAGATTATTTTAACAATTTTCCATCATCTTCAGGTTATCATGATACAAGTTTTGTAACTCCTTCTTATCAGACAAATTCTCCTCAAAGTACGCTTCAGTATGAAAAAGAAATGTTAACTATTCCCGATTCCCAAACAGGAAAACATTTATATAACCCCACGTATGTTACTGAAAACCAAGAACAAAACCTCCATAATCATCATGTTCATAACTCTAATGTTGAGCCCTTGGGTCCTACTGCTACCAATACTAACTATCCTTCACATTACGAACCAGAGAAAAAACAAGTAATTAAATCAAGTCAATACAATTTGTCTGCAAAATTACCAGCAATATCGTCACAATTACCTGGATTGGTAAATTCATTAATGGAAAAAAATGAAGAGATACATTCTTTGACTACACCACTTACCACTAGTACAACAACTACAACAACTGAAGCATCACCTACAACTGTACGCAGTCGTGGAAGACAAAGGTTTGATGATTTTTTATATATTAGACTTGCTTAATATATCTACTATGTATAACTTTTATTTTTGATACTTTCACTCAATGTGAAATTTGTGTTACAAGATTTTGCCAAAAATATTGTTTCGTATGATCACGTGTCTCAATAAATAACATGGCTAAATATTTACTCACGAATTATCGCATATATGTAAGCCATAGTCGAACTTACCGTCAGCTCAACCGTGACTGCCTGCTAAACATATACTCATGAAGTATATCATATTCAGAAGTCTTAGTCGAACTTATCGCAAGCTCAGCCCTGACTACCTGCTTAGTACCAATTATCGCATATCCGCAAGGCCTAGTCGAACTTATCGTGAGCTCAACCGTGACTGCTGACAAATTTCTACCCATGAAGTATATCATATTCACAAATTCCAGTCAAACTTATCCTAAGCTTAACCGTGAATGCTTGCCGACTTCTACCAAATCCAATCGGTCTCGCTATATTTTTCCTATAATCTACGCGTGAAAATACGTATGTGTACTAAATTCCAGTTTTTCATATAGCAAAATGTGGAGGTTAAGGGGGAGGACTGGGTCATTTTTTGCAATTCTTTTGAAAAAAACCAAATTCTTTTCTTTCTAGCTCGTAGCCATCAAATCCAATCTGTTTCGCTATATTTTTTCTGTAATCTACACGTAAAAATACGTATGTGTACTAAATTGCAGTTCTTCATATATCCCGATTTCATTAAAACCATACTATAAATGCTCCCCACCACTTAATATGAAATTTGCTCGAAATCGATGCTTTCGGATTTCGAGCAAATTTCACATATGGAGGTGGAAAGCAATTCTTTCATGAGTTTTAAATGTTTATAGTATACTGATGGGACTGAATTAGTATATACCTTTCCTATTACCGCAACAAGTAAATTCATGTAATGAATACACGTTTTCATGAAATATTTGAAATAAATTTTGTTGATAATATTCTTATAGAATTATTCTTATTAAAAAATGAATAAAATTAATTTAATATCTAATAACATTATTTATTTATATTGAAATATTTATGAAGTAATTAAATTTAATTAAAATAAAAAAATTGACTTTCGATAATTTTTATTTTTCATTAGAAGAAAATTTTGTTCACGTTAATAATATTTTTAGGGTAAGAGTTGTTCCAACAAAAAGTACAACATTACATCCCCCTGTAAAATCAGCGACAAACAGATCCCAGAGACCATTCACTCGATCTAGAACCCGTTTAACTACAACTACTGAAAAATACCAAAGAAGTTCATATGAGCCTAAGAAGAGTAAACCTGAAACAACTAATAGGCATTACACAGAAAATGAATCTCGTAATCCTTCGAATGAAAAAAATCAAAAAGTCAGAGGAAGAAATAAAATAAATCAGTCAAAGGTAGTAATAATTTATTGTAATAAGATATATTTATATATGCATGTTTGAATAATAATAAATTGTTTCTTGTAAGTTAAGGAATAAATTTTTTTTAAAGATTATTATATAATATTTTACGTGATGCACATGATGTTTACATTTCTTACGAAGTACAAAATTTTTTTTATAGAGTGGGGATCATTTGCCAAACGAACAAGGTTATTCGTCTAATCAACAACAAGCAGAAAAAGCCTATTCTCATCAAAGTTCCACAGTTTATTCAATAAATGATGATGAAGCTCCAAAATTCCAGAGTGGCTCTACGTTTCAAAATATTGGATCCCAAGAACAATCTTCAAATTATAGTGACTTTATAAATCAACAAATTTACCAACAAGATCGTCAATTTACAAATAATAGCAGTCGTTCCCCATATACAAACGAAGATTTAAGATATCAAACAGAAGCCACACCGTCAACGTTAAAGGATTATTCATATTATTTGCCTAAGAAAACTGGAAATAAAGGTTATACAAACGTTGATCCTACTCAAGTATCTGAGCTTGATGAATCTTATCAGCAAGAATACTTACAATATAATGGTGCTTTTCCAAGTCATGTCAATCTGAAGTCACCAAATGATAATTACGAATCAACTGAAAGAATAAATTATGAAACTTACCAAACTGGAGTTACAAATAATTTTGACACTTCACATTATGACTATTCTACGGATCAACCAACGGAGGTATAACTTTAAATAATAAAAAAATAATAACTTTAAATAAATGTTAATGTATAAAGTACCTTCATTAATCCAAATAATTAACCACACATTTTTTAAAAATAATTTTTGATTAACAAAATTACATTTTTCTTATCAGTTTGAATTTAGATAATTCTAAAAGAAAGCTTCTTTACTTAATAAATATTAAAAATTTGAAATCTGTATTAGCAGTTGACAGAATTTCCCGTAACTCCAACAACTTTAAATGCACGTGTATTAGGAGTTATTAAAGAAAAACCAAGAGAGCGTTTAAACGAACGAGTTCAACAAGAAGTACAAACCCATCATAACAAAATGCAACCTGAATATGTTCGTATTACTTCTACAATAAATCAACATACGAAAAAATCATCTCCTAATTTAGGTAACCGAAACAGAGAAAATATATCTTCCCGATTAAGAACACGTACTCGACCAAATTTTAAAGATTCACAAATACAAGTCGATGGTCAACATTATGTGAGAATTCAGTCTGCCATGAAAGACAAAGAATCGATCGTTTCATCTGCAACTCCAGAGTCAGTAACTACTTTAGAAGAACCGGAAACTTTAGAGGAATATGGATTTTTCAAACCACCAAATTTTCAGTCTACACATTCTGAAGAAAATGTTCATTTAAGAACGAAGGAAAATCAAGTAAAACTTTTAATTAATTTATATTAAAATAATTTCAAGCATTTTGACTAATATTTAATATGCAACAAATTTTTTGTGTTAAATTAATAGTTCTAAAATTTATTTTTAAGGGACACATTAAAAATGAACAAGATAGTGCAGGAATATATGCAGATTCAGTAATAACACAAAAACATGATTCTAAAAAACGGCCAATGTATTTATCTTTCAATAGAAATTATCCCAATTCTATAACAACGACACGCACAACACCTATTTCTTTTGAACAATCTAAAAACACTTCAACTTCAAAATCAAATACTGACGAAACAAAAGTAACGAAAATTCGAGGTAGAGTGAGAAGACCTGGTAGAAAACGAATTACCACAACTACTACTGAAGCTGCATTAGAGGATCGTAATGAATTACAATTTAATGAAAATTATTTTCATATGGCTGAAGTGACGCCCAAAAGTTTCTCCACAACCAATAATAAGCAGTTATACTTCAATCGCAGAAATTTACCCAACCGTAAACAAGGAAACTTGGAAGTAAATATAAACTGTTTTTTATTATCTACTTTTTCTACAGAAAATATGATTATATATCATCAATAATAATGTACAATAATTTAATATATATTTCCTTTCTCAGCTTTGTTTCTATTTGATTAGACATGATTAATTATACAATTTACAATAGATTCATATATGTATTTATTTTCAATTTAATTTATTTTTCAGGATCCACAGGAATTTGTTTTGAATGTGCCAAAAACATATTCCAATCAAAATGAGCAGTCCACTATTCCATTTCAAAAATACATCCAGAGCAGTAGTGGTACACAAAAACATTTGCCCTTACAACAATCATCTGATATTTACGAAGCAGAAAGTCAGTGGTCTACAAAATTATCAGGAAATGCTTACCAACAAACTTACTCTTTACACGATATAAAAAATTTAGAAAATAATAACACTTATTTAGATAGTGAAGAAAGCAAACAAAGCTTTCAAGAAACTACAACTGTTGGTACAGATACTGAAATTTCTATCACCATCCAACCATTGGTAAATTATGAAAATATTTACAGCCAAGATGTTACATCAAGCGAAAATAATAATGTGGAACATACTGAAAATTCTGGAATGATAACAATTTTGAATAATGATGATAACAATAATCATAATATTAATGACTACAACAACATCAAAAACAGTAATACCAGTAACGGAAATAATATTAATGTAGAAGGATCTAAAATACAAACTGTTAATGAATTTAATCAGGAAAACATTAAAGCTGACTCAAATGAGGAACTTACAACAGAGTCTCGCATAAAAAATGAATCTCGTAGGAAGGTAAAAACTATTGTTTTAAAATTTGTAACTAATTTCACCTAAGTTGTTTGTTTATTCTCTTCATGTTTGTGCAAATCGTTTTCGATGTTGGAAACTTAAAAAAAATTGCATATATGGCAGTTCTCATGTATTTCAGCGTCCTCTTTCAAGATATAACAAAATAATTAACATTCGACTTAAGGGAAAAAAGTTATGACAGTTTAAACAAAATAAATGCGTGAATTTCTTATGTTTTTCTATTCTGAGAGAGTTCGCTTAAATACATGAGATCTGCATTATGCAAATTTTTTTAGTTGCAAACATCGAAAACGATTAGTGCAAATACGAAGAGAAAGAACATCTTGGACAAAATTGGGTTGTATTTTTTAAATGTTTCTTATTTACAAAAAAATCTTTTTAGTACTTCAAGATTAGCAGTATAACTAATGTTAAATAATTTTATAAGTAAATAAAATAAACAAAATAATTCGACGGCTAGGTCATTTCTTATGTGTGGTGTGAGCTGTATTTGAAAGTAAAGTAAATTGATAATTAATTTTTTTCAGGTTGGGTTTCGGAGAAGAAAAGTTAAAGTCAGAGTAAGTCCTGTTTCTGAAGAATTTGTAACCGCAGAATCTCAAAATTATGGTTCACCTGTTAACATACTTATTAAACAGTCGAATAAAGATAGTACATTTAATGATAAATTTCATGATACAAAATCATCATTTTCAATTACACAAGAAGAAACAAGTTCGAAAGTAAATAATGACTATGTTGAGATGTTAAAAGTATCTAGTGAATCTATTGATGTGATTAAAGAAACCACAATGTATCCATCTACTGATGCTGTAAGACAAACGAATGAAATTAAAGAATTTATTGATGAGACAACAATAAAAGTTGAAAGAACAACTAAACCAAAAGTACAATATTTTGATGAAATATTTGATTTTACAGAAAATCCAAATTCTTTTTTTAGCAGCGAAAAAGAATCTAATTTGGAAGACATAAAAACTCAGACACAAGCTAAAGAATCATCCGAATCTTTAAACGTAACTAAAGTGGACAATACTATTGACAATAGCATCAACATTTCAACTGTTATTCATCCAAAAAATCACAGATTAGAGTGGAGTGAAATAAAATCTACTAACTCATCTCTCTATGAAATTGCAAAAAATGAGACCATGAATTCCAGAACTCAAACAATGTTGGAAAATGTAAAAGATGGAAGTAGAAATAGTAAAAATAAAACCAATAAAATTTCTGACTATGTTCAAGCAATTTTTGATAGCATCAAAAATGATAATGAAAATATGAATGTTGAACGAAGTTTTCTACGTCCTGTTCAGTTTAATAATTATCAAACTACAAAACATTCCGTTGAAGATATAACAAAAGAACATAAAAATGGCAATTCTAATTTTAATATTACGAATAATTTATTTTCTAAGCCACCTGAAGTTACAAAACTAGGTGAGATTTTAAGAACATCAACAACTACAAAAGTTTCACATATGACTGAAATTTGTTATCGAGGTCGCTGTGTAATGACAAAACCAAAAGTAGATCATTCTACGTAAAATTAAGTTATTGAATTGATTTATAATCGCATTTTATTTGGTTTGAATAAAAGAGCTTAAAACTGTTCTTTTAAATTTAAAAAGGAGAATGTAACCATTAATTTGGTTAATAAAACACAATACCGAATTTTCATTTTCCGTTTGTTTATTATTTATTCGTATGAAGTTGCGTTAATGTCTTGAGAGTTAATACTTCGAAGTTTAAAGTTTGTGTTAAGGTTTAAAAATTTAGGAAAGTAACAAAGACAACAAATATGCAAAATGTTCATACATCTTTAAAAACACAATTAAAAATTCAAGAACAAAGCACAGTAAATAGAATAAAGCAAACTTAAAGAACAATATTAATGTTTTACTTACCTAATTCTTTTGTATTCAATGTGCTTTTTAGAGAAAAATACAATAGTTTTGTAGAAATTGTAAAAAAATTAAAATTTTCAGTTATATTGTTTGAGTATGTTCCACGTATGAACTATGATGAGAGTAAAAGACATAATATAAAAACATGAATTAGTTTAATAATAATATGCTTTATGTAAAAATAAATCAAAAATTAAATAAATATATATATATATATATATTTCAACACTCTTTTTTCCTGTAATCTGTTTTAAATTCCAAAAAATTCATAACATTTCAATTTCAATTAATAATAATAATAAATTTAAAAAAGTACCCACACAGCACGACATTTGTCAGATAGTTTGGATTGCATGTTTGCTGCAATGTTGCAAAGTGTATGTAAATGTCTTCTCTCCCAGAAGTTTGTCACGAAAGCTTGCAGAAAGTTAAATTTGCAAACGTACTGCAAGTTTACTGAGCAAAATAGCCTAAAGTTTACATAGCAAACTTGACGAAAATTTGCATAATAATTTTACTGAAAATTTCTATGGTAAACTTGTTGAAAACTTTGATAGTATACTGTTAAATATTTTCGTGCAGGTTCATGTACATGGAACATGTATTATTTATTTAAGAATTTTTTTTTTAATTTGAGAGTTTAATAATTTAGAATCATTAAAACTCTATACTGATATATGTTAAAAATTATTGCGCAGCTGTGAAGTCCTAAGAAAACTACATCGCAGCCTTTAAAGTTTCTAATGTTTACTAAACGAAGACATAAATAAACCTGTACATTTTCTTATATACAAATATTAAATACATATGATGTATTCCACGCCAAAGTGTAAGTCCATCTGCAATTGAATCTCCTATTTTTTTGTGATTTTTAATTCTTTTAGTACTAATTTTTTGAATTGAAGTGACTAGCTTCTATGAATTTTTTAAAATTTTTTTAGCAAGCCGTTTTCGAGTTATGGAATTTGAAAATTGAAGAATTTTCATGACTTTTAATTTTTGAATCCTCATAACTTCCTTAAATTTTAAAAGTCTTTTTTTAAAATGTGTGTTTTTAAAGGTACTTTTCAAACAAAAAATCGAAAATTTTTACATTCTCATCATAAATGAGAAAGTATTCGTTTTGGTCGATTTTGACTTTTTTCTAATTCCAGTGAATCTCCACGTTTTGAGACCTCCTGATGCCAAAAAAAATATGTTTTGAAAACCTGTCCGTCTGTCTGTCGTTTGTAGTCTGTCTGTAGACACTTTTTTGTCCCCACGATAACTTGAACAAATCTTAACGAATCGATTTGAAATTTGGTACACTCTTTCAACATGTATAAATGAAGCCTGAGTTCGTTGGACAGACTAATCCGCCCAAAAATTCAAAAATTATTCAAATTTTGAATTTTCAAAAAATTCAAATTTAAGAAAAAAATTTTTTTCTTAATTTTCCCTTAAAATACTACCAAAAGTAAACTTTTTTCCTTTAACACTTTTCGATAGAGATTAAAACAAAAAAGTTATTCAAATTTTGAATTTTGAAAAAAAAATTAAATTTTTCAGTTTTTTTTTGGTTTTAAATTTCTATTATTTTTCCCTTAAAATACTCCTGAAATGACAAATTTTTTCCCTCTAACACTTTTCAATAGAGGCTACAATAAAAAAGTTATGAATTTTTTAAGATCAAAAAATACCAAAAATTCAATTTATAGTGGATGAAGCAATGGCGAATAGAAGAAAATATTCAAAATACAAATCGAATATATTTTTTTTCTGACTTAAATACTTATTAGAATAACATATAAATAACATAAAATCAAAATCAACTCAAATTTTTTTTGTTTTTTTTTATAAGTCCTTACATTTTTTCCATTTCTTGACGTAAAATGAATTTTCATCTACTTTATTAAATTTTATGAATGTAGGTAGTTTTATTGTTTTTTATGTATCATTTGGTTTCTATAACATTGAATTTAACAAAACATTTTGGAAGTGTTATTTTACTCATTAATTTTTTGCGGCAAAGTTTTAACCTTTTTTTCTCACTTTTTCTATTAACAACTTTTCCCTCTAGATTCAATGTTTCTGAAGCATTATCCATGCAACATTTTTTCAACTATAAAGAAATCATTGTGAAGTGAAACAAAAATGGTTATAAATGTAGGAGGCAAAATTATAAACAATTATAAATTAACAAAGTATAAAAAATGCTATTTTTTTTTAGAAAAAATTCATTTTTGAACAAACGTTTTAGCAAATGAATATTTCTACATTTTGGGTTTTTAGAACGTTCATTACTATTCTCAAGTCAGTTCTTAAAAATTCAAAATAACGGATTAATTAGGGCAGACGATTTTTGTAAAAATTCATTGGAAACACTTGAAACTCGTTATTCGGCGGTTTTTGAGGTCGGTGATTATTAATCTGATGTTAGATTTTCATTTGTTTTCGGTACAGCAAAACATTTTTATATTTATTTTTATAATATTCATTATATCTGACATGTACGACTATTCAATTAAAAAGTATTATCAGTAACTGAAATTTGTCTTTCTATTTTTTTGTTTTGCCTTTGATTCACATGGCGTATATTCCCTTTTGGTATTAAAGTTCTTTTGATCTGTGTTAATTTTTGAGTTATTTATTTTGTGCCTTTTATCGTTTAGCATAAATTATATAAGTTTTGGAGCATGGAAGACGAAATTAGCGAATTAGCATTAAATCCGATCGATACTGAATCCACTGATGATAATATAGGTTGTGAAAACCTGTAGATCATCATATTACCACTCTTATGCCGCCAGATGGTGATAATTTTTTTCTCACAGTTGAGATCAGTCTTGAATACTATAAAAGCTAATACTCTAACTCAGAAGGTGTATTTCAAAGCATAATTTTTTTCTTTACGGATGAATTGCAGTAATATTAATTATTTTTCACTATTAATTCTAAGTGAAATCTCAGATTTAGATATTTCAGAATCTACATGAAATCCTATATGATTTCTTATGTTCAAATCAATCATATATATGATCCCACGTGAGAATTTTTAATATGATTTCATGGCAGATTTTTTGTAATAATTTTTTATTTAAGAATCGAAAAAAGATTTTATGTATGATTTGATATAGGAAAATTTCTGGTTAATGATTGAGCAGTGAGTTTTGGTATGATTTTTAATGAGAAAACACGAAGGAAATTGGCATAAGAAAAAATTTCGTTAATGGATTAATGAACGCCCTATACTTTTCCTATTGTATGTTTCTAATTTTCGAGCGTGAAACGCGAGTGCCGTGATGAGAATGTTATCCTTAAAGTCAATGTACTTTAACCCTTTCATGGCCAGTGGGACACATACGTCCCACCTACTTCAAAAAATCATAACTTTCTTAAAACTTAATCGATTAACTCCACTAAGATCTCATTTTGAAGGGGAGGGATAGAGTAACAAATGTAAATACATGTATTTTTTTTAAAAACTACCCTCTTTGAAATACACCCCTTCAAAAAACCCGAAAAATGAGAAAAATGAAAAAACAGGTATAAATTTCAGAAGAAATTTTTTTTTCAGGCTTTCATAGTAACATATGTTTAAAAATATTGCAACCTTTGTAAAAAAAAATTAATATTAAAAATTCAACCCGAGGGTGCAGAAAAATAACTAAAACTACCCCTAAAAACCAAAACCTTTAAAAATTAACAAATTCGCTTGAAAATTGTTACTTGGGGGTTTTCGGGGTCGCTGATTACGAATCCGAAGTCCGTTTTCAAAAATTAAATATGGCGGATCCAAAATGGCGACCGATAATTATAAAAATTTACTAGATTCACGTGAAACTTATCACTCGGGGGTTTTCGGGGTCGCTGATTACGAATCCGATGTCCGTTTTCAAAAATTCAAAATGGCGGAACCAAAATGGCGACCGATAATTATAAAAATTTACTACATTCGCGTGAAACTTATCACTCGGGGGTTTTCGGGGTCGCTGATTACGAATCCGATGTCCGTCTTTAAGAATTCAAAATGGCGGATCCAATATGGCGACCGATAAATATAAAAATTCACTAGATTCATGTGAAACTTGTCACTTGGGGGGTTTTCGGGGTCGCTGATTACGAATCCGATATCAGATTTAGAAAATTGAAAATGGCGGATCCAATATGGCGGACGAAATGATTAACTTTAATTAGATTCATCTGAAACTTATTACTCAGGGGTTTTCGGGGTCGATAATTACGAATATGATGTCAGTTTTTAAAATTGCAAAATAATGCTGGTGTCATTATTGCCTATTAATTTTGTAGCTTTTAGTGCCTGTTGTTAGGAGTTTAGTATGAAAATGAAAATTACAGACCCAGGCTTAATCGGTGAGGTAGTGGGAGAACGCTACACAGAGAAAACGAAACGACGCGCTGATTGCCTTATAACAGCAGTTCCACATGGGAGCTTCTTTGCTACTGTCGTACCCCCCCTTTCATTTACCCAATGCACTCCCCTCTACGCCATCGTGGAGGGGAGTGCATTGAGTATGTACTCAATGCATTACTCAATGTGATAATAATCAGTGAAAATTATTTTTCTGATTGTTGAAAACTGAATTCAGTATCTTATAACTTATGAATTAGGGGTGGATATCAAGGGTAGGGGGTGAGTTTATTATTATTATCCATATCTGTGAAACATTGAAATACTTTTTTACAATTCAGAAGCACTTAGAATCCATATAATTTTTTTCATTTATTCACAAAAACATTTATCATTAAGGGGTGGTTATTTGACTTAAGGGTTGTTTTTCAGGGGTTGTTTATATTTAGTATTAATACTTAGTTATCATAGAACATTTTTTTTTCATATTTTCGAAAATCAGTGAAAATTATTTTTTTGATTGTTCCAAACTGAGAATAGTTATGAATTAGGGGTGGGCTTCAAGGGTAGGGGGTGAGTTTATTATTATTATTATCTATGTCTGTATAACTTTCAAATAATTGTTTATAATTTAGAAGCAATTAGAATCTATAGATTTTTTTTAATCATTTACAAAAACTTTCACCGTCAAGGGATGATTATTTGACTTTAAGGGTGTTTTCAAGGGGTTATTGTTCCTTTTCAATTTTTAAGCAACCAGGCAATGTTTATAAATAAATAAAAAGTAGATAAGAGCTGAAAAATATTTAATTCATCAATTTAGTTAAATATCAGTTTTTTGGGGTAGTAATGTACCGTGGGGGTGGTTTTAAGGGGTGAGACATGTTAAAAAAAAAATTTTTCTCATACTGAATACTTTAGTAATTAAATCTAATATACATTATAAGTCTAAAGTAACGACAAAAAACTCGGCCATTAAAGGGTTAAGAAAATGAAATTTAATTTATAAAAACCAAAAATTTCGCTTATATAAATTGTCCAAAAAATTTTATGAATAAAAACATTAGCGCGAAACCTCATATAATAAATTTGTTGCTTAAAAAATGCATTTACTTTAAAGTTCTTTTTTTTAATGTTTTTAAATTTTGAATTAATTTTTTCTCTTACTCAATTGAAATTAGTTAAAAGCAGAAAATCTCAATTTATTAAATAATTTGGTTTGTCGATTTTTGTTAATTACAAAGACCTGGCCAATCCACAGCGCAAAATTAAGGAACTAAGTTTGAACAGCTGCAGTGCCGCCATTCTCTTTTTTTTGCTCGATAAAAAATTTATTCTAATACCTTTTAACCTTACCTATTTGTATAATTTAATGCATTTTAATAAAGACTATAAGTTGTTTCTAATAAATTTTTCAAAACAAATCGATTATATGAAGCTTCTCTTTTAAAATAACTACTTTTGTACTTATTTTAACATTGTGTGTAATTAATTTTACTCTTTTAAATAAAATTAATAAAAATAATTTCTTTCTTCCTCACATTTTACTTCAAAATTTAGTTCAATCAACTACAAAATCTCATTCTACCAAATGGATTCTTGGGTCATTCAACTATTTTCTGGTAGTATAATTAATAATAATAATACAGCCCCGCAGGGGGCTGTCGTATCTTTTTAATGATATTACTATCAAAATTTGAATTTTAATGATAAAAAGTCATTTTTCTCATTTGACGTACTGATCGATTTTTTCAAAATTTTTTCAAAAAAACTACTTCTTTTTACGAAACTTTTAAGCCTAGGCCGATAAAGGGCAAACAATTTTTACATTTTCGAAATTTTTAAAAAATTTTTGAATGTTGAATTTTTTAAAAATATTTTTGATTTTTTTTTATACTACGTACTTTTATGTATTTTGATGCGCTGATTACGAAAATCATAGTGATAATACCCAAAAATTTGATTTTTATGGTGAAAAACATCAATAAGTCTCAAAATTTATGGTTTTCTTCGTTTATTGGGTAAAATATGCAAAATTAAAAAAAAAACTTTCAAACAAGAGTTATAGATCTTATTAAAATAGATTTTTTATATCTTACGCATTTTTTTTAATTTTGCATTTTTTACCCAAGTACTAAAAGAAAAAAAAATTGGAGAAGCAATTACAGTAGGGTTAACTTTTCATTTTTCGTACTTGATAAGTCTTTTAAATAACTTATCAAAGTTTGAATTTTTATTAAAGTGGCCACGACTAGAACATTTACCAAGTAAATTCTAAAAAGTTTTACATTTAAGGTAAATTTTGTGAAAATAATAAAAATAATAATAATATAGAAATTTATATTTCAATGTGAAAAACTGCTACAGCTGACTGTGCAAGTAGCGTTGGACTTAATTGCGCACCAACCACGCTTTCCTAAAACTTCAATAACTTTAAAAGTTTTTAATGAATTGATTTAATATTTTACAGAAAACTTCCTTATATAGTGATAAACAAATGTCTCACTGGAAGTTTTCTGAACTACAAAGTTCCCCGCAGACATTTTGTCGATGAAAGTAAGAAAACGTTATTATCAACTGGTCTCAATTTTTATTAAAAAAAATTTAAACAATTAAGGTTTTTTTAATTTTTTATTATTTTGTCGCCTTCAGTTGACCCTAATACGAATACATATCAAATTTGAATCGAATTCTTTAATAATTGTCGGAGATATGATGATTTATGTTTCAAAACTGAATTAAATTTAACAATTTAAATTTCTCAGTTTTTGATCTCTAGAAACTAAACTATTCGTTTTATTAAAAAATTTAAAAGAGAAAAAAGATGCGCCTTTTAATTTCCTATAATGTAATATTTTTCAAAATTCAAAATTTTGAATTTCAATTTTTATCATTTTTTCGAACGTTTGACTGGCTTTATGGAGTTCAACCGAGCGTAGAGCCTGTTCTAATATCCAGCTCCTCAAATATCAATGAAAAATTTTATTATCTAAATTATTTCTATTCTTTTTTTATTAATAATTATCAAAAATTAATTATACGGATATTAATAGTCAATATTACGAAATATCAAATTTTTCTGAAAATAGGTCACAATGACTTTTGATGAAATATAATGGAATGACCCGTATCTAATATTTTGAATTTGTACTTTGTAATTTTATTATTCTGACAATAAAATGTTCATTAGAAATCTCAAAACCGCCTCTATTAACCAAGTTTGAGTTCAATTCAGTAGATTGAAGTTAAGTTACATTATAATTTTTTTTCAAAAGTTTTAATTTGTTTATTTAAAGTTTTTTTATGATTGTAAAAAATACTGAAATGAAAATATTTTGTCATATTAAAAATGTTTTAATTAATACCATATTATGAACTTTTTATATCCTACTAGTGATAAAATAGTATTTTTTAAAGAAATATAAATATTCCGTAAACATTACAAAATAAAGAAATCAATACGGTAGCAAAGTATTCATGAAATGAACATACAAAATATATACTTTAACTTGGCAGAGCATTTTTATAAATTCGTTTACAATGATTGTATATATTATAAAATTGTTAACTAGAGATGGTATGGTTTAGCCCGGTTTAACATTGATCGTATAATATAAAGTAGTATGTCTATAATCTTGGAGATGGCGCAACGCATCAGCAATTTTTACACTAAGGGGTGAATGTAGTAGTTTCATGAAGTGATTGAATGTGAGGGACATGAAGGGTGGTCGACAGCAACGCCAAAAGTATTGCCTACTTAGTCGACATAATTTTTTGCTATAAAGGAAAGTTGTCTTTTTAATTTGGGACATCATGTCAGGCGGCGAGGGGTCTTCTACTAATAACGTCCCAACTAATTCGAACGATGAAACTGATAAAACACATGAGTATTCAAATTGTGACAAACATAGAACAACAATGACGATAATGGGTGACGGAACCAGACGAAGAAAGGTCATGCACGCGGCAAAGGAGACCCTTGATAAGGGTGAGTTCAGTTGTAGAAGATTCTAAGAACACAACGTTTAAAATGCAACTGAAATAATTTCAAAAATTTATCAAAATGATACAAAATTATGTTTCTTTTATTTCCAACCTTTATATATATATACATGCATACATATATTTTTTTTTATTATTAAAGATATATATATATATATTTCTATGAACGAAAACATTTAAAAATTTATTGAAAAGTGTTTTAAAAACATTCATCGATCTTCGATGAGTATAACCCATGCAATCGACTTAATAATATATTAATTATTGAAGAAGTAGAATCTTCTTTTATTAAATAATACATCTAATAAAAGCGCGAATATTTTTCATTAAAAAAATATGCTCTATTTAATAATTTAATATTTTGGAAAAAATGTTCTTCATTTAATGTCGCATTTCTCTTAATATAAAAATATAATGAATCAAAATTTGATAATAAATTTAATTTTAAATTAGAAGGTTTCGAACGAATAAAACGATAGCATTCGGACAATTGTTGTTTTAATAAAAGTTTACTCCAACGTTTCGAAATCTAAATGATTTCCTCTTTAGGGAGTCTATCAAATTACAAGAAATTGTCAAATAAACAAATACAATAAACATAAAATAAACTACTATAATAATTAAATTTTCGATAATCTTACCAAAATAAATTAGATGTCAAGTCATAAAGTTAACAGTCATTTGCGGTGTTAAATTAAATAAAATAAAAACAACCCTAACGTTGGAATTTTAAAATTATTAAAAAATTTTTGTTTTGTACCCCAGAAGCAAAATGTTAATTTTTAATTTTTTAAAATTTGATAAGTTATTTATATATTCATAAAATTATTTTTCCTTAATTTTGTAGAGAATTTAAATTATTAGTTTTAATTAAGTGCGTTAAATTAATTTGGATTGAGATATTCTATCAATGATATTTTTAAAAAAACATTTTTTTGGTCATTTTGAGTCTTTGAACAAATATTATATTTGACTAATTCAGTCTTTGTGAATTGTTTTTTAACGCACCACATAATGGTGTTGTCATATTTTTATGCTTATATTTATATTTTATATACTTTTTATACTTATGATTTAAATAATATCAATTTATTATTTAATTTTTTCAATATATCAAAAAACGGTTTTAAGTTTGAAAAAAATATTGGTATGTTATTTTTATAATTCTATATAAAAGATTTTATTCGAAAATGGTCTGGAATTATATTGTACAAATTATAAGTTATATATTATATAGTTATATGTTAAATTATATGTTCTTATATCAATTTCTATATATCAAGTTAACTGTTTAATTTATATCCTTGAATTTGTGGTTGTGCCAACTCGAAACGTAGGCAACTGTGATATTTGTTCAATAAATCAATATGACCAAAAAAGCCGTTTATAATAATTAAACAATAAATAGAACACAAGCTTATTATTTGAATCTTTCTTTTAACTTAAAAGTAAGTATAACATTTTAAAATTTTTTATCTTTTCTTAATTAATTTTAACGAATTAAACTATAAGATTAAAAAATACCTGTGATCGATTTATTTTATTATTATTTTAAGAAAAAAAATTAAATAAACTTTTGCACTTGTGCTGTTTCTGCACAAAAAGAAGTGAAAAATACAAGAAATGTATTACAGAAGAGAATTATTACAGTTGTATTAAATGTTTAGTAATATTTATTAAATATATGTAATTTGGAGAATTTTTAATTAACATTTTATAAATAATACAATTTTTTAAATCTAAAATTTTATGAATTTTTGACATTTTTTAAAACAATTTTGCACAATTCAATATTATTATATGTAATATTAATATATAATTATTATAATTCTAAAATAAATATTGTTTCTGCACGAACGAAAAATTTATTATTTTTTTAGAGTTTGAAGATTTTTAATGGATGTAATATTTTACCATATTGTATAGCTTTATTATTATATTAATTTGAAAATTTTTTCAAAAAAATGGACTTGTGCTGTTTCTGCACCAACGAATTCAAATTCATATTCAATTTAAGATTTTCAGTGCACAAAATTTGTAGGTAGTTCAACTAGCAATCGTAATTTATAAATTTTTTTGTAAAGAACATTTAAGACCAAATTCATTTCAAATCAGACAGGCTTGACTCGGTCCAGACTAAAATTCAATTTGAACCTTAAAATACTATTTATCCAAGAATTTTAGACGATACGTATTTTTTTTAAGCCAAAATTTTTTTTTTAGAAAGATATAAGGATTTTCATTTTTTAAATCTGAAACGTTTTTTATCTAAAATTTAGGAAAAAAAAACTTTAAAGTGTTTTAACTTTTAAAGTAATTGAGATATCTCATTTTATCTTTTTCTTCTTCCTGAAGGAAGCTTTATAGTTCTTTCATTTATAAAATGTTTAAAAATGGTCGAAACAAATTTTTCTCCATATAGAAATATGTGGATCCCTTTTTTATGAACACGATAACTTTAATGATAGAACGTCCAAGCGCCCGTCCTGCCGGAAGGCTTTTTTGGATGGCCCTATATATATGAGGGTGGTAAAAAGGGAACTCAAAATTTTTTTCTGTCACCCTTTCTTATTAAAGTAGACGTAAAAACGAATAAATTCATGCGTTAGACTTTAAAAAAAAAATATTAAACCATGTTTCGAAGCCTTCAAACTTTGCATGTTTGCAACAAGCCAAAAAAACAGTTTTTCGTAAATTCACTGTAAAATCTACAAAACCAATATTTTTTGTTCTAACTACTCTCATTTTCTTCTGAAGCCTTCAAAGAATAAAATGTGATAGTTTATTTTTAAAAAAATTCAGTTTAAATATTTTTTGGATTCGTCAAAAAAACCCTATAAAAACGTCCTTTTTCTTTGAATTTCCTAGCCTAGGGATTTTAATTTACAAACTTTATGTTTACATGCGCTAAAAGCTTGTGTTTTTACCTTTCCAACGATATATTTTACTTTTGGATTATCTGAATCCATGTTAATTTTATAAAGCGATTTCGGAGGGACTCACGTGAGTCTTTTTCATCCTGCCGGAAGGCTGTTGGACGTTCTATCATTAACGAAGGATTTAATTTGGAAGGCTTATTTATCACATTATTATCTCAAAATGGACACAATGAGGAAACAAAATTTTCATGAAATGAACATGAAGGACCCCCCTACTAGTTCGCATTTGAAAAAGCTTTCATTTTTCTTTCCAAATCCGTTGGAAAAATTAAAAAATGTTCAAAAATAAGAAAAAATTTAATTTAATTAACTAATTAACTGAATTTAATTAAATATAATTTGTTCTAATTTAAGAAAAATTACATTTTTCTCTTATAGTACACTGGTTATAAAAAATTTCCTTAATAAAAGTTGTTCCGCTTAAAAAAAAAAATAAAAATGAACGTTGGCATTTTGCGTTTTACAATAAAATTCTAAAAAAATTAATTTAAAGCTCATATTTATTATTTTCTAGTTTCAGTAACAAAAATATGTAATAAATCTTACTGAAAAAGTTGTTTTTTATTTTTTCCCATAGCAACATGTCAATTGTTAATTATTAGTGGTGTGCAAAAAGCTCGAAGCACGAAACTCGATCGAAATTTTTCGAGCTTTTCGTTTTTCGAGTCGAGCATTATTAATTCGAGTTCAATTCGAGCCGAGCTGTATAAAAAACTCGAAAATTTTCGAGTACTTGAATATTTCGAGTACTCGAATAACTTCGATCACTCAAATAAATTTGAGTACTCGAGTGAATACGAGTACTTAAAATAATCGAGCACCCGAAAATAGTCGAATACTTGTGTAAACTGAATTTGAATATTCGATTGTTTGTAAGCTATTTACTATTTTTTTATGAGTTTGTAATTTCAAATATGTAGTCAATCATTTATTTGTTGATTAATTTAGTAATTTTTGCACAACAATAAAAATTGAACGTTTAATATGCTCGAATTCATTCGAGTAGGGGAGACCGAGGAGGAAAGTAACAGAGGAGGAAAGTAACAAAGCTTATAACTTTTAAACAAATTATCGGATAGACATGGTTCACACATATTTTTAGTTAATTTTATTGTTTTTCAAAATGTGCCTTTCGTTATTTTGTAGCCTTATTATCTGTCTTTAAGTTGTGCTTAAACAAACAATTTAACATTTGTGTAGTTTTAACTTTTTTGTTGACATACAAGAAAAAAGCGACCGAGGAGGAAAGTAACACGCTACTTTTCTCCTGTTGTCGATATTGTCCATGTTTTAACTAATGATTGAAGCAAATCGTATTTAATTTTACGAATAACAGAGATTTATTTAAGAAAAACCTGTGATCTAGGTAAGCATAAAATATCTTTAAGAAAAAAAATGAGCTAAATTCATAAAATGTTCGAAATATGTGCTAAATATGTCCCAAATATGTGCCAAATAAGTATAAAGTGTAAGTACACTAAACTTTTATGTGTTCCTAATAAAAATATTTCTAATTAATAATAGTCATTAGTCTAAAGAATTTTACATAATTTTATACTGTTACTTTCCTCCTAGGAGCTTGTTACTTTCCTCCTCGGGGGTGAGGAGGAAAGTAACAGATGAAGAGCTTGCGTAAAAGTTATACTGTGAACTGTCAATTTATTATAAATGTTTAATTCAAACTTTATTTAAAAGGTGAATGTCCAAGCTTTCATTTAATATATTGGACAAATTTATCCGACAAATATTTTTAATGCTAGCATAGAAAAACTGATTTTTGTTAACTTCCTCCTCGGTCTTCCCTACTCGAATATTATAACCGATTAATATTATTTATTTAATATTTTTTTATTTTTTAAATTTATTAACCTTGAGTACTCGAAAATTTCGAGTTCTCGAGTCTAGCTCGGGCTCGACTCGGCTCGAAAAAATTTTGGCACGACTCGACTCGACATTCGAGCTTTTTGCACACCTCTATTAATTATCTTTGCTGATACGGAGGTAAAAATTTATATTCTTCTGTGGATTTAATTAATTAATATAAATT